TCGAGCTACTTTATTTTCGTAATGCGTTATACCAAATAAAGTGCTAGTACCGGATCGGAGATTATATGAGACATGTCCTCTTCTTTTCGTAAATTACTTAGTCTATCTAACGAGTATTATTCTTCCACACTATTTATATGTTTTTAAGGACACTATTAATTGCCATTTTTTGGCCTGATTACTTGATCATAAAGCTTTTTCATAAAGATCATTAAGGGATCACAAAGCTTTTTAAACTCCCCTCTTACTTTTTTTTTGTTGAAGGTTGGAGAAGTTTGGCGTGAAATCAGAGAAGAGCTGAAAGCTGAGAATATTAAACCAGTAACCTCTGATCAGGAAGTCTTGGACGTTATTGCAAAAGCTACAGAAAACATTAGTAAAACTGTTGCCTCTCACCAGACAGAAATAATTGAAAACCAGCAACAAACTGAACTTCAAGAAGAACAGCAAACATATGCAGAGGTAGCACTAAGTCCATCTATGATTTATATATAGAGAGAGGGAAATAATGCTCAAATGCAGCAAGATTTGCCATTCAGTGGAAATAATTTTGTGTTTTGCAGTTGAACACTAACCACAAACAAGGTTTATTCACTAATGTGTGAGCTGTTGGGAATTCAACACAGCTTTTTTTAAAGGACCACTATAGGCACCCAGACCGGTCTGGGTGCCAGGTCCCTCTAGGATTAACCCTTTTCTGCTGTAAACATAGCAGTTTCAGAGAAACTGCTATGTTTATATTAGGGTTAATCCAGCCTCTAGTGGCTGTCTCACTGACAGCCGCTAGAGGGCTTCTGCTTTTCACTGTGAAAATCACAGTGAGAAGACGCCAGCGTCCATAGGAAAGCATTGTGAATGTGGCTGAATGTGCGCGCACCCTCAGGGCACTATAGTGCCAGGAAAACGAGTATGTTTTCCTGGCACTATAGTGGTTCTTTAATTTGGCTATTTTTGCCTAAAATTCTGAATTGAATTCAATGTTATTGAATTACTTTGTGTAATAGCCAGTAAAAACACCTCCTCCTATAAAAGGCTAGTAGAACTATTTAATGTGTTGTGCCATGGTCCACCGCAGGTTAAAATAACACAATATATGATAAGTAAATCTGCCTTTCCTCTGTCTTCACTAACCTGCTGTACACATTTCAAAGTGGCAAGACACCATTTACTAAACCATTCTAAGATGCAGCAGACAGCATCAAAGCTGCTTTGAAAGGACTCTTTCCTCAAAACATCTTCATCTCAATGAAACTAACAAACTAACACTACCTACTCTACTTTAGCAATGGGCAGCCAATCACAGCCTGTTTTGAGGAAGAGAATCTTGCCCCTCTGATACCCACTCCTGCACAAAAAGTTTAGTTGTTTTCTCACCCCCTTGAAATCTGTGCAACATTCTGTACAAAAGAATGCAGAGGAATACAAATCTGTGGTCTTTACGATAGTTACATCACCAGTTACACAAGGTCTATGAAAATCGCTGCAAAATTGTGTGCGTGTGTGTTTAAAAATGTTAATTATTCCCTCTACATTCAGCAGAAACAAAAAAGAGATAATTTCTTTTTAACTCATCAAGTGTCATTGTCAATATTATACATTATTTCTTCTTATGCAGATGAAATCAAACAACAAGCAGATTGAATTAGTCATGAAATCTTGGGATAATTTCCTTTCTCGGACATCAAATTATGAGTCTTTAAAGGTAAAATTTTGTGTTGTACAAATTCATGTTATGTACCAATATTAGTGGTCAAGCATCTTTATAAAAATTCTTGTGGAGGTTTCAGAATCCTACTATAATTATTATTAGTGTCTTACATTGTTCTCCTGAGAATAGTCAGTATCTATAGCATAATCTATTACTGTTGTTTACTTTGGTGCAAGGTTTTCTGGATTATTTTCTATGTATTTTTTATTCATTTCTATTGTAGATCCCCAAAGAATATGATTTTTTAATTAATCCTATCTTCTAAATACAGTTTCAGCTTCCCATATAAGATGTTATCCATAGTATCCTGTCCTATTTCTTGGTGCAAATATAGGTGTCATAGGCTTTACCTATGAATGTGACAATATTTAACAGATAGAAATTTATTTCTGCCAATTTGGCCCTTGCTAGTTCTCCAAATGCTTTAGTGAATTATACCACATCTATATTTTGGTCTTTATTTATTTGTATTGCTTTATTTATTATTTTAGAAAGCAAAGCGCCTGCAGGAAAAATCTATAGAATCTTCGAGGCCTAAAGCGAGACCAAAAAATGCCATTATCCATTCAACTCAAATTCCCCATCTTAATACCACAGTAAGTAATAATAAAGGGCATTTACCTTCTGTTTGGAAAACATTGTAAACAGTGAATTAACTTTAGAGTATTTACAAAGTGTTATATAATAATCGTCTATGGATCAAAGCAAAGTAAATGTTCTTGCTACTGCCCGAAATATGGCTTAATAGTGGCTTTTACGCAATGTGTTATTATGTCGTTGAAAGGAGAATTGTGTATACTGTGGTCATTAAGCCAAGCAATCTGCAGGATTTGTTTGATGCAAGCTCAAAGCGTCTTTTGTACATAAATTGTTTGTGTGTGTTTATATTTAGTGGATCATCACATCATATTTATACCTGCAGTTAGGTTACTTTTCAAAAATGACACATCGATTTTGAAATGTATACATTTAAGGTTTTGCAATCCACAAGTCTATTTTTTTTATTTTTTATTATTCATAACTATTATGTTTACTGGAGAATTGATTTAAGCACAAAATGATGTGCGGTGTGTGACATCTTCTAGCACACAGCTAAATACACTGTAAAGCAACTTAAGAAAAGACAATTGTAAATCAAAGTCAGATTTTGATTAGTGATCAGTGTTTTTAAAGTAGAGATGGGATTTTTGACATGAATTCAAATGCTAGTTTTGAAAATGCACTGAGGCTCTATTAGATAATTATCTATTGCATGTGACTTTCTCTATGACTGGGTTCACTGATGAACCCTTGATGTCAGTGGAATGTACAGTGTAAGTGATTTGGAATGTTTTTTTATGGGAAACACTGGTCAGTATGTAGACTCCATAGACAGTGAAGAAAATCTTGATTTCCCTTGCTGATCCTATAAATAAAATAACTGAAAATCTGCTGACTCGTGAATTGAGATCTTGGGTTCAGACATACTAGCAATAGATTATCACGATGAAACCTGATTATATGTTTGTGAACTGAGTAATACTTGTTGGTTCATTGAAAATTAGTGTGCTTGGCTGCATCCACGTTCCCTATTCATTTTAAAAAAATACTAGTACTGTAGAAGGAGACTGTACATTTTTTAAATGTAGACATATCAATACAGATTTTAGTGAATACATTTTCTCAGATTCATACCAAAGTATATATAATTTCCTATTTTCAAACTGAATATATTTATTCCAGTATCAATCAGGGTGAAAAATAGGATTTCAAAGTGAACTTGCCAAATCAATATGACTTCTCTTCTGTCAATACATGCCTCTTAACCTGTTCTTCTAAGTTATAATCTCTATTTACTTTTTAGGTTGCCTCCGGCCGTCTGGTGACTGTAGAAAGTACACCTTCTCATCTCATTGGAGGGCCACTAGCAGACACAGATATCGCTGTAAAAAGAGTTTCCATACGTGGCGGAGCTCTGCAGAAGACCATGAGTGTTAAAATGTTCAACCAACACAGCATAGACTAGGTGTCTCTCAAATAAACTATTTTCCATTTCATTTTATTTACAAGTAACCTATTTATAGATGCACTTCATGTACAGTGGATATAAATTTAGAAGGCAGATGAGAACCACACAGACAATCTAGCCTGGCCATTTTTCAATAAATTTTTAACAATCCAAGAGTTTTGTTTGCAAGATGACCTGATATCTGCCTCTCTTATTCTCTTGCATAATCTTAACATTTTGTGTCTGAAAATCCTGTCATATACTTCTGATGGATAACATTTGGCATTCCGGGCTGTTAAAGTTGGCTTACCATGGTTCTAAGCCAGCCAGTAGGTGGGTTTAGAATCACAGGAAGTGTGTCCTACCACCTCAACTGTGCCAGGGTTGTAAGCCATTAGCTTCATGTCAATAATCATTTCTGTTTACATCTTCCAAGCTGTTGTACTCATCTCTGCTTGAAAGAACTAGATTTAACCAAATATATATGGTTATATGAGGGTGTGGGCATGTGTGTAGTTATGTATCTGAATTACTGCATAAACAGCTTTACGAATACAAATACAATGGGTTGTATAAAATAATTTACTTTTTAGAACACTTTAAAAAGTATATATGTGGTTTATTGACTTCCTTATAGATATTACTATGATACTTTGTTATGTATTACTGAGTTGTAACACCATTAATATTCTAACAATTTACTGGCAAATACGTGATATTTATGAAATAAAATAATTTTATTCATTATTCTTCATACTGATCGGCAAGCTCTAGATTATTTGATAGTGCATCTGTTGTCATGAGTATTAAACTCAACTACAAATAATTTATTTTACTGTAGCTTGGTTAGATGAAAATAATGTCTGCTGTGTTTCATTTTAAACCGATTCATGTAAAGAAATATTTACTTGACAGAACCTTTTTTATGTATTATAAATATGTAACAAAACATTGTCACCAGAACTGTCGATAGAGGTGCGATAAGCATGGTACATGTTGATTTGGAGGACCCAGTCCCCTAGTGGAAGATGATGATTCAAGATTGCTCCCAATTCAAACACACCCTTCTACAGGGTTATTTACTTAAGTGAGAATTTCTAATTCAAGGCCAGAGTAGCCAAACTGAAAGCATTGCTGATTTAGATAGATGAGTTCAGCTATTTTGACCTTAAATTTGAAATTCATCTTGAATCTCATTTTAGTGAATAATCCAGTTAGTATCCACATTGGCTGTCTTTTATGTTAACAGCTGACCTTCAGAAGAATGAAAAAAAAAAAAAAAAACATTCTCGATATGTACAACATCCATATTATAAAAACAACTCCTCATTATTCAGCCACTCATTAATGATTAAAATAATTCACTCTAATACCAAATCATTACCCGGGATCCTGAACATTCTTCACACTATTATCTGTTTTAAAGCACATACAAAAAAAGAAGGCAATATTACAAAATACAATATATACACAAGTTTAATGTGTTTCACTCAACCTTATTAAGTGAACAACCAGTCTTTCCTGAAATTAACTATCAATGGTTGATGTAGTTTATACAAATGATTTGGACTTGTTAATTGTCTTCTGCCAACTCCATGTGATCTTGAGAGGACACAATCCACGTATATATCCCAGAAGTTCTGTGCTAGGCCATCAAAGAGCGTATTGTGCTTGGGGTTAGTGGATTCTTTCAAATATATCATGAAATCCCAAAGACCTATGATTGTATCTGAAACTCTGAGCTTTTTCATTTCCACCAGCTTGCGTGATGAGGCATCCCAGCACTCGTGGTCAATCTCACCCAGGTTCCCAGCATGTGGATGGCCGTGAACTTCTTTGTGGTAAATTGACCGTGCACTGACAGAGCCTATCATTAGGATGCACATGAGATTAATGTACCTTTTGCTACCTGTAGGTTCCATGCCCTGGATAAAGTACCTGCAAATAAGAGATTTAACAATTTCGCAGTGAATAGTCATGGTTAGAAAATAGTGTGTTGAATGTGTGGTGAAATGATTTTAAATATTTCGTCTGATTGCTAATTAATTTTGGAGGATGTTTATGATATTAAATGTATACTACTATTCAAATTAGATAACACAATATAAATGTTTAACCAAATAGATTACTATAATTAAATCTGTTGCTAGGATAGGTTGCTGAAGTGCTTTATGCGTGAAGCTTGTCCTCTTTTTTTCAATTTTATTTTTCAAAAAGTGCAGATTTCAATAGATAAATGACAAATTAATCTTGTTACACCCCTTGCTGGCTCAGACAACATGTCCTGTTACTTCCTGGTTTGTTTAGCTCAGTTCAACTAAGCTCAAGAGGCATCATTTGCCCAGAGCACCTGCCTTGCAAAATCTTCTCATTGAACTGCATTCAGAAGTCTGTGATTGGACAGCCACAGAAATCTGGGTTAGAAGAGGAGGGCTTGCAAAGAAAGCAGACGAGAGATCTGCAGCTTTCGTCAAGTGTTTGTAGACATAACCCTAATGAAACAAGTTAATTAGATGCATGCATGTTTTTATTATTGGTAAATGCACTAAACATTGATTTGTATTTGGGCAGTGGAATGGTCCTTTATTATAAGTAGCTTCACAGTTCAGGAACCATTTTCAGCATTTCAAAAATGTTGTGGCGCACATTTAGACAGTGATGGCTTTCGCAGCTATCAGTTTTATTAAGGGAATTATAAAAAATGTCCCTAGTGTGCCTTTTCAGAAGGCAGCTGTATTGTCAAACTACAGTTTTATTCAAATATGAAAAGTACAATCATCTGTTTTTTTAAATGCGTTTAAAAAGTACTTTTTGTGCTAGAATTACAGGTACTTAGCTCAAGCATAACACAATTTCTCTTTAGCACTTTTCTTCTCTCCCGTCCCTTAGGGAAATTAGGCTTAAGCATTTTGAGCATGTCAAAAGATTCAGCTGCTTTGTAGCATGTTGACCCCATCCCTAGCATGCAACACTTTATTTTTATGTTTATATGAAAAGCATCATTAAAGAAGTACATGATAGATCATGATAATATTCAGATATCTAGATAATGAAATAAAACATATAAAAAAGAATGAGCTGGAAATATGAGTTTCATATACGTGATCTACGTCTGTCAGAGGCTTTGAACTATTCATTTTACATATTCAATAAAAGGACTATAATATGAGTGCTGTGCCCTGTTTCCTGTTTCAACCTATGCTTTAGTGATCCAAAATTGATTTTGTAACTACTTGTTTCTTGACGTATTTTCCTCTGAATAGGCTAGCATTTCTGGTACACAATATAATGCAGCGTATGAGTGCTTAGTTCTCTTAGCTATATGTGGGGAATTGCCAAGCTAAACATGTGGTGCTATTTTCTTAAAATATATACTATACAAACAAAAGATGAGCTCCTTGCATCGATTTACCATATCGTAAACTTTTATGTCACTTTCAGGATTATTAAAGTCAGAATTCAATATGAATTTCACATGTAAGGTCAAAATAGCCAAAAATGGAAAACTTCTCTAAGTCAACTATGCTTTTAAGTTCTGGCCTTAAATTTGAAATTCACTTTGAATTCTCACTTTAGTTAAAAAAAAAAATAATAAAAAAAATTATGATCTTGCAACACCAGCACTTGTTCTGTAGCAGTATATACAACGTTTACAAAGCCGATATAACTTAAAGATTGAAAGAGCCATGTCTATCTATTTTGAGAGATTACAAAAGGCTCATAATGCATGTAACTATAAAAACTTAAAGCTATAAATCAGCCATATATAGACTCACTGCTCACCCACTTTGTAGAAATAATACAATTAAAAAAAAAAAAAAAACTTATAAAATGTACAGTATACAAAAAGACAGAAGAAAATTCTTCTAAAAGCAGGCATAAAAAAAATAAGTTAAATGTACTTACAGATTGAGGATAAATGAAGTTTCACCTGTAAGACAAAAATATTTTATGAGATTAAAAACATGTAAAACTCATTAGTTTATGATTCAATGATAGACAGACAAAGACAATGAGGTAGGCAGAGAGTTTTCAGCAGTTTCTGATACACAGACCTATCGGAGCTTCTGATCAGTGAATGAGAAATACAGACTTGGTACCCTAGTGAATATTTATATTATAGCCCCACCTACGTCCCTGCACGACAACAAAGGGGATAGAATTTATGTCTGAGTCAATAGTGTTTGTATTGTAGAATGTCTTGTGCTGAGATCATTACTGTGAGCAAAGAGGATTGCAAATAGGCAGCAAGACAAAATGTCATATTATTCGTACTGCAGTCATGATCATTTATTATAATGCATGACGTAGGATATATATTTTGCACAAGAGCTAGGCACTATAGGGAAAAAATCCTAATTGGTCAATTAGACAAATAATAATAAGCAAGGTACAGCATGTGGAAATGTCAGAGTATGGATTTTTTAACATTAATTTTCAAACAAAATATATTAAAGGTAAAAATTACTTTAAAATTGTATTTACGGGACGCTCTAAACACCATAATCACTACCGCATATTATAATGGTTATGGCACAAGAAATGTTTGAGCAAATTTCTCAATTTAAAAAAATTTATTTATAGGTTTTTAAATATTTCAGGTGAAACAAAAAGGGATTGCAATATCAAATAGAAATAATGATGCAGTCATATTATCTGATAACGGTGCAGTAACTACAGAGACAAGATGGCTACAATTGGTGACATCAAACATTATTCAACAGAAGTGTGGCATAAAGTGACACAATAACTTTGTGACTGGAATAAAGTATGTTAAATGTGATGCATGTTATGGAGACTGTTTTTGCCAAGTCTGGGATATCCTTAATATTTCCCAATCAACAACACCAGTGGAGATATGTTGCCATCGAAGTTATATGGACCAATGTACAATAAACGACTATGACCAGATGGCATAATATGTGTAGCCTGTATTTGGGGCTACCTGACTAATCAATGGAGCATTCTGTGACCGGAACCCTCCAAGGTTAAGGGAAGTTATCATGGGACTGCTCCAATCTTGTTTTAAATAGCTTTTGAGCAGCCTGATAATAACTGGCATCTCATAACAACCAAAGCTAATATTAAAGAATGCTGTAGTGGTAATAGTGCTAGGTGTGGTCTGGGTCTAGTGCTGTCCCAGTGGAAAATATTAAAGCATTTTAGCATGGTTTAAAAATTTACTTGGGTCTTGCTGGACGCCTATGACCACATACTCTGTTTCTAGGATTCTGCTTTAGGAGAATCTGGTTAGATCTCCGGTGCTAAGCAAAGTCATGTAGACCACACTCATTTTTAGAGCATCAGCTGAGTGGTCCTGTATCAGGCCACACTTAGCTCTATGGAGAAATCTGGCTTCTCCTACAGGATTTTTGGTTCCTGGTGTCTCATATCCAGAGTCACCAGTTAACTGCTCCCCAGCCAGCGCAGCGCAAGTGCATAATTAGACAAGCTTGTGCTGAGCATACTAGTTCCGAACCGAGAGATTCACACCTCGCTGACACGTCTCTTCTATGGGTAGTCATATGCTTTTTGGGGAGTCACACAACTTTAAGGCCTGCCCACCCACTGTCCCTTTTGCATTGGGAGGTACTGTGGTGTGAAACGAGCAGTTGCATTAAAAAATAGTCGCCCAGTGAAAATCTTGCCGCCCCTAAAACATGCCTACCTAGGTCTAGAGCTCATTACAAATGTTGTCAGTAAATGTTAACGACAAGCTGCTTGTCACTAAAATGGCTGTTAAAAACATTAGCGTTTAACACCGGTTCCCAACTATAAAATCTCACCTTTAGATTCAGGGAATTACCATCTGATGTTATTTTTAATAAATCCATATTGCATACACTGTTATTTTCTCCTGCGTCTATCATAACCATAGCAATTACAAAACAAGCGCGCATTCGCAGGGTGAGCCATTTTTACTGTCCATGTGTGGGTGCTAATGCAATGCTCTAAAAAGCATGCATTTACATCTAAGTTGCTAATATGTGAATGGACAATGTCTATAGTAGTTGCTTTTAGTCATTGTGTGGCTTACCTTGAGCACGTGCACTTCACCTGTGCACGTGCTCATTGCATGATATGAAAAATCACTGTTATTGCATCACCTGCATATCTCGAATTGGACTCTGAGGGGTCAGTCGTGAGCATAGAAACTTGAAAAATCACAACTTTCCCAGCATTCCCAGCGTGATATGCAAATGAGCACAGAGAGGAATCACATTTTATTTTTCATACAGCATTACCCGTAACAATGATCCTTTTGGATAATAGCCCATGCTTTAATTTAAAAAAATGCTGTGTTTAATAGTCTCCATTTCTAAGGGAATTTGGAGAAATGCAGAATAAAGTCTGAAACACACTGTATGTCAAGCTGGGGGTCTCTGGGATAGTTGGGGGAATATGATTTCTCTAGTTTCTATGCCCAAAAGGGACTTCTCAAAGTCTGTAGTTGTTGTTGCTCTGAAACACATGTTATACATTATTACACCTGTATGTTAGAGCTCCTAGGAATGAGGGACTGACCCTTTAAATTGTGTTACTGTTGGAGGGAAAGTCCTATACAAGGTGCCATTCTGTTCTATCCCAGCATAGGGGACACTACTCTTTCCGTACAGAGAGTAATTCCCTTTGGGGCCATAGGGGGCACAGCCTTCCCAAACTCTCATTTTCTAGCCCTGCATTCTTCCCCCGGAACTCTGTGTGTGAGCATTCTGTTCCGGAACTCCTGTGTCCGCGTTGTTTGCTCAGCCGGGCAGCTTTAGCTGCTGCACAAAGTCATGCTGTCACATGCACTGCATGCCTGCCTAGTGAATACAGAGGGTTCTTAGTGCAGGCTGTATTAGAATAGCCCACTAACCGGGGTCTTAGTGCAGGCTGTATTAGAATAGCCCATTAACCGGGCACTTAGTGCAGGCTGTATTAGAATAGCCCATTAACCAGGTTCTTAGTGCAGGCTGTATGAGAATAGCCCACTAACCGGGGTCTTAGTGCAGGCTGTATGGGAATAGCCCACTAACCGGGCTCTTAGTGCAGGCTGTATGAGAATAGCCCACTAACCGGGCACTTAGTGCAGGCTGTATTAGAATAGCCCAATAACCAGGTTCTTAGTGCAGGCTGTATTAGAATAGCCCAATAACCAGGTTCTTAGTGCAGGCTGTATTAGAATAGCCCATTAATCAGGTTCTTAGTGCAGGCTGTATTAGAATAGCCCATTAATCAGGTTCCCAGAGTTCAAGGAGTCCATGGTCTGATTGACACAATGGTTTGGTGCTCCAGGATCCTGCTCAGGAAGGTTCATATCTTTACCATCACTGATTCCTTGTAAAGCCAGTCTGAAGCTGTTGGTTCTTATAATATTAATCTGTGGTTGAGCAGGTGTTTCTGTCTCTATTTACAATCAGTAATATTTAGTATTCCTGTGTAAATCCCATTATTAAAGGCAAGCAACATCTGTGAGCATGACACATTTTCACCTGGCAAACTTTTATTAAATGTCCAGCACCCCTAAAGTCTTAAAACATTTATTCCAATACTGTCATGCTTTGCTGATAACTTTCTGAAATTTGTCACTTCTCAGGGAGTAATACTGTTGCATAATAACCGTGACTTATGAAAATGATGTACTGCACTGTTTCTAGCAAAGCACAATTTATGGCGTGTATTGCATCGGAGGTGTATGACAAATATTTTTTTTAAATTTTAGCTAGTAATGTGTCAATACCTTGTGTTTTTCAGTGATTGCATTATTTTGTACCAAGTTTCTATTCGAAGACATTTTAATATCAAAGATGAGATAGATGTTATTGATGTATTTGCTCCTTTTCTTTTAGTATGGCAACTTCATAGACAATTTAAGAGTCCATGTGAAAGGTGGAACTGGTGGAATGGGCCTTCCGCGCTTGGGTGGCGAAGGAGGAAAAGGTGGGGATGTATGGTTGGTGGCAAGCAAGGAGGTTTCTTTAAAGAAAATCAAGGACAAATTCCCACATAAACGATTTGTGGGCGGTGTGGGCAACAACAGTAGGTGAGTGGCAAACACATAGGGTGTAGGTAACATTTATGATTTGGTGGCGCTTTGGCAGATTGAAGAATTTATAGAGCTTGTTGTTCTTGTTTAATTATACAGCCAAAGATACATTTTGTAACACGGCACAACTATTGCCCATTGTACCAAATGAAGATTATTTATAGCTTTATCAATTATAGGTTTAGGGAGACTTAGATGTGAATTTTACTATTTGTATAACTTGCATTACATATGTAGCTTATAAATATATATACACACATAGGGGTGTGCACCCTAAAGCACAAACACACACGTCACGTTCGGACGTATGTATGTACGTATGTACACTGCTGTGTGTGTGTGTGTGAGAGAGTGCTGGTAGTGTGCTGTGTGTGAGGGTTCTGCTAGTGTGTGAGGGTATTGTTAGTGTGCTATGTGTGAATTTGTTTGGGATGATTGTGTGTGGGGAGGGGACTGATTAGGAAAGGTAAGAAGTATCCCCCTCCCTTCCTACCTTTTGCCTGGGAGGGGGGATCATTGCTGCCATCCCTGATCCCTGGTGGTCTTAGTGGTGAGAGTGAACTCTAGCATGCAGGGCTAGAGTTCACTCTCGTGAGATCTGAGCGTTGCCGGCGCATGGAGGCACACAGCAGGGCCGGCGCTCGGATAGCGCCAGCTCTGCATGGACCGACAGGAAATCCTGTGATCTCCCCTGCCGACCTCGATCTAGGCACGGGCCGCAGGGATTAGGGTGTGCCCCGGCACACCCTGTGCACACGCCTATACACACACACATTCAGAGTTCATTCGTTTTGTGTAATTTTTCCAATTCTTAATGTTTTATTATTAGTTAGAATGTTATATAGCTTCCACTTTTTACCACCTTTCTTTACACTTGTATGTGTAATTTAGCTTTCTCGACCATAGAAAAATATAGTTACATGGCTTTGGAAGCTTGCTTATTTTCAGAGGTTGCGTACAGAAAGTGAAGCCTGGATTGTAAAGTCATTGTTTCATTTAAACAGCTGTAACTTGAAAAAGGAATACAGCAATAAAGAAAACATAAAATACAAACTATTTAAAAGTATTTTTAATATACAGAAAAAAGTAAGGTTGTTTTTTAATTTAGTGCTTAAGCACTGTCAATGCCTGAGCTGTGTGCATACCTTTGATAAGGAAGACTTTTTTTGGCATGATGGAGCGTGGCTACTAAGGCAGGCTTTTAATGCAGCATGCTGCACAAAACATTTATTTTATGCAAAAACTAAAAAAATTTGAGCATGCACAAAAATATAGCATATTAATGAGACCAAAACCTATCAAATGCAATAAAGTAATATTGGTGCCTGTATTGTCTCTTTAAGTATGTGTGTTGAACACTCAGGAATTCTGTCCTTATACTTGCAGCGTCCGTGAACTGAGAGGTGAGCCAGGCGCAGTGTGTGAGGTTGAAGTTCCTGCTGGTATAACTATTACAAATGACAATGGAGCCAAGATTGGTAAGCAATATTTTTATTTGTAATACTTTGCGTTGGTGACATTCATTATTTATAGATAAGATCAGGGGAAGTTATTTTTGTTTTGTATATGTGTAATGCACAATCAAAATATCTCATGTATTGCAAGAGTCTGACTATCACAACATACTCCCTGTGAGCACAAAAGTCTGTGTAAAAATGGAAAATAGATGTAGCGCTATATTTAGTAAAAATGGAGATAAAAAGGTGATACCTTACAGAGTCTTTACCAATAAAATAAATCTTCCCAATTTGAGTTTCTAAAAAACATAAAGAAAAAACGGAACGGACATAGTGTATACCGTATAATACAATATAATAATAGAATTAAAAAGGAGTAAAATCCCACTCACACTTTTTAGAGCTATAAAATAATAGCTCAATTTCAGCGCTCTTGGGGTTCAGTAAAGGCGACCCTCACCCTTCTTGAGTTTCAGTGCTTCTGATGTTCTATTAAAATGAGACAGAACAAATATGGTGCAGTACCGTTGGTCTTTAAAGGAGGATAATAAACCAAGATGGGGTACTTACAAACTTAGAGCCATCCAAATCGGCTCTGATCTGTGCATTTATGTGGTTAAGGTCCACACACCTTCTTTAGAAAAAATGTAGCAGGGATGATGCCAATAATGTGTAAAAGTACAATATTTATTATAATAGTAACATTATAAAATATATATATATATAAGTATAAAAAATATATATAAAATAAAATTGGCATATAAAAAATCCAAAGTCTCACAGTCTTTATTCCAGGACGCGTTTCGCCTATATCGGCTTCCTCAGCTGGATAATAGTGATGTAAGCAATATTTTTATTTGTAATACTTTGCGTTGGTGACATTCATTATTTATAGATAAGATCAGGGGAAGTTATTTTTGTTTTGTATATGTGTAATGCACAATCAAAATATCTCATGTATTGCAAGAGTCTGACTATCACAACATACTCCCTGTGAGCACAAAAGTCTGTGTAATTACCCATTTGCCATGAATTCTAAATATTGATGGCAAAAGGGTAATTATATATGTGGTTCCATATGTCTTTTTATTTTGGTGTTTTTTTTTCTCTACTGTACTAAAAGATCCCCTTTCAAGTAAAAACTGGGGTGGGGGGAGGAATAATGTGATTTCTTTGCCCCTTACTGGTGTATATTTAATTGTATGCATTTCACTTGATTTTATGTTTACAAAACAGTGTTGGGCAAGGTCAGGAAGCAAACCTGTGTTCAAGCAGTGATATCTTTTTAGGCCCGGTATATTTAATGATATAGTATATGATGCAAGCTCAGTCAATTTACTAGTTTTGCATAGTTGCCAGATGGGAATCACAATTGCAACACGAGCACCTATTAAAACATTAACTTAATGACGGCATTTAGCTTCTTACTGCCTTGCAGTCTGTGTTTGCTGCACACTGTTTGAAAATCACTGCCATATATAATCACCCTTTTTTTTTTTTTTTTATATAATTCTTTATTTTTGGTGTGCAGGTGGTCACAATAGATTGACTGACAGACGCCACAACAGCGTATTTCAAGTTGCATACAAGTTAGCCAGTGGCATGATAATTTGCACAATTTTTATATTTAACATGCTTAACTAGACAGTTATTTTGTCCGAGTAGGGTTAGGTGAAATAAAATAAAACAGAAACGCAAATACAGATATTGGATGCTTAACATTGCTAGTTCACCAATGCTATAGTAGTTGTACTATGGGCACATTTTAAATCAGGGCTGTATCTGGTTATGTAATACTGTATAGATTCACTGAAAACCTAAATATAACTCACTAATCTTTTGAACGAAAATGCTAGGTCAACACTTATAATAAATGATAGCAGCAGTAGATAACATCATCATAGGAAGTGTCAGTGGGTGAGCGAAACAGTGAGGTGTAGTAAACATGCTATGGTGACTGACTTAGTTGTCGGCTCCACCAAATGTGACAGCAAGTGTGAGTATGCGTGGCGACATATACTTAAGCTGTTGCTACGCTTTTCAGTTCACGACTCTAGAGAACTATAGCATGGTCAGGTGAGGTCTGTTAGTTATATCAAAGTGTGTAAGCCACCAAAGCTGCAGCTACAAGTAGGTCGTAATCAGTGTGTTATATGTGTGCATCAGTAGCTTGATGTGTGTGTTGCCTTTCCTTTAGTGAACATGCAGGCTTGATGTGGTCTATTATAGTAAGGTTGAAAGCACAGCAGGGCAATACATGAAAATACAGTAAATGTATATAGTAGAGGGTGCTTGTCTGCATAAAGGGTCTTTCTCATGGGGCCCCTTGTGATAGGCGTGGGAGTCCGGTTGGCGTTTGCCTGTGAGTATAACTGGTGCCTCACATGTGGTTAGTCCAGGTGTCCGTCAGCCAATGCTTTTCAGGGGCATGTTAGAGTCCCACGCGGCGCAGCCGGTCAGCCTGCCCAATTTCGTGAGTCCCAGCGATGAAGTGCCTGGCTGGTATGTCAGCCGTTGGAGAGCTTCCAGCTTGTCGTTTTGTGTTGCCGTCTGACTGTGGGTCCTCCAGCCTGATTCATGGTTGCATCTCTGCTTGGAACGGTACAGGCGGGCCCTCTGCCCAGAAGAGTGGTGGGAGGCTGGCAAGGCTGTGGGCTGTATAGCGGTGGTACCTGGAGGGGTGAGTACCCATTGTGCTTGTGTTCCATCAGTTACTGCGGGTGTTCCGCTGGTTCGTGGCTTGGGTTTGAGTGGTGCTTTGCGAGCTGCTCTCAGCCGGTGTGCTGGGTATTTCCCGCCTCGAGGCCATTTTGGGCTCTTCATCCGTGCCAGGATTGCAGGTGTCCATCGTCTGTTTAGTCGCTTGTTTGGTGGCGCCGGTGAAGGTGAGTGCTTGTTTGGATGCTGTTGAGCCTGGAACTGCAGCCTCTCTTCCAGTTTACTCCAGAATATTGTGAAGGCTCTGTCCAGTCTGACCTCTATGTCCGCCCATATTGCTGTAGTGTCTGGGTTCCTCGTGGCGTCCGCCATGTTGGCTGTGTTGGCAGACGTGCTCTTAGTTATAGCCCCGCTGTTCCTCGTGTGGTGTCGGTCAGAGTAGTTCCCCAGGGTTAGACCGGGATTACCCCCATTGGTCCAGGGGGGGGGTTGCAGGGTACCTGCTCTACATGATGTGCCGCTTAGGGCTGGGAGGTCGGCCATCTCTCCCGCCTGGTGGTCAGCGTGCCGCATGGCTCCACGTGTGCCGCTCGTTGACTTCGGTGCAGCTTCTGTCCTCGGTAGTTTCTTGTTGCTCCGTGCTAAGGTAGGTGAGGCTTTAGCTGGGTTTTGTCTCCGGATAATTTTGGCTAAAAGGCTCTTTTTTGGCAATGATAGTGAGGAGCTCATGCAAGATGCGTCTTTGCTGCTTGACGGTCAGGCCCCGCCCCCATTATCACACATTTTTATTGTAAAATATATGTCTGAAATCTACTTACTAAGCTAGTTGACTGCCTTATCAGCAATCAAAGTTGTGACTTTCCAAAACCTAATGCACAAGCGTGGTAGTTTAATGATGGAGTGCTGGCTTTTACCTCCTGCTTTGTATTAAAAAGTTAATGTGACATTGTTGTAGTGTTGGGAACATTTTGAATTGCTGATGCTGCTCTGTGTTCAGTCCTGGGCCAGTTGCTGGAACTTGGCTTTTCAGATGCCAGTTTGTTTCAGTAAGAATGTCTTTTTTTTAGGAGAGCTTGATAAAGCTGGAGACCGGTTACTAGTTGCCAAAGGTGGCTACGGGGGCTCGTTCAGGACCAATTTCACACCCTCCACAGGGCAGAAAAAAATAATCCGTCTGGACTTGAAACTCATAGCAGACATTGGACTAGTAGGGTAAGTAGATGTCCCTCTGTTAAATTACTCCAGCTATGTAAAGGTTTCAGAATAGCACCTGTTTTGAATTTTAAAGGTATACTCTAGGCATTATAATCACTACCGTTTGTTGCAGTTATGGTGCTAGCAGAATACTGCTGCTCCCCTTTTTGTGTCAGCCTTTTTTTGGGTGGTTTGACAAATACTGTGAGGTCCTCAAACGTCTACATCCTGATCCCCCTTGAAGAAGGCTAGACGCCAAAACATTGGGGTTGCTGTATCTCCTGCTCTGGTTTAGTTTGTCTATATTGTTATGGGTTTGTGGGATTTCTAACTAAGCACTTATCTCTATACCTGATATGCTTTCTATGCGTTTGTGATTTAATGTTTACATGCCTATGCTGCTGACTGCACTTTTCTTGTACCATTTTTATTGAATCACTGGATGAATAAATCTTTTTATATGCAGACTTAATCTGGTGTGCTTTGGGTTATTATTTATTGAGTGCAGCCCTCACCAGTCACTGCACTGTGCCAATCAGCGTCTCCTGATAGAGATACATTGGATCAGTGCGTCTCTATGGGGTGATTTGGCAACTTCATGCTGAGCGTTTGCCTTTGCAGTGCATACTGGAATTCTTCTATGAGCAATGTGTAAATTGTGGTCTGCCTACAAACATACCACAGATTATTCTAACTGTGTAATTTATAACACTGTCTCACAGACACCCAGTCACTGTATGTTATATACTGACATCAGAACTATAAACTACATTCCTTATATTAAATACATATATGTTAAGGCTTTAAGCTGTACTGCAGCTCGTACCTCAAGACTGCAGGCGTCTTCAGTGAACCACACCCTCTTTATATACAGCCTAACCTGACCATCGGTTCCAGGACACTAACCAACTTTGCCTTAGGTAGTTTGTACAAGCGTGTGTGTGTGTCACATGCAGTTTTGGAATAACAGTATAAAGCTGAAATTTTATAGTCAATAATGTGTCATATTTGTATGACAGATACTCTTTACATTTGTGCTTTTAGTTTATAGTCCTTTTTAAAATTTAGTTATAAAGAAGTCCGATAATTGTTCTGAAAACCAAATTCTTTAAAGAACTGTTTTCTATTGTCTCCCACAGTAATGTTGATTATTCTAGATTAGAATATGAAATAATAAACACTGTCCATTGGTTTTGTTTGTAATAATCACTATTTTATCTTTCATCCATAATTGTTTTCCTTGTATCAGTCTCCTTTTTGTGACCTGTCCTTTGATGTGGAACCATTACTAAAGAATCATTTTTCTTCTGCCTAATTTGCAAATAAATCCTCAATTAATCAAAGTTCAGTTTAAATACTCATCCTATCGTCATTATGTTAATGAATGCTGTGTATTCTCAGCCTATTTCCTGTCTATAGTTCCTTTTAAAAAAAACAACAACAAAAAAAGGTAAAATATCCTATTTAATGGCTGTGCATAAGGTAAGCCACCAGCTGCTGAGATAACAAGACACTTATTACTTTTTCTTCTTCTTAAAGCAGCACTGTAATCTCCAAGTTCTTTGTTTAATTAAAAATAAAGGGACATGTCTTCTTGCATGGGAGCACGTGATGTTGAGTAGTGTAGCAGAAATTGACAGATGTTCTTCCTTGTGTGCCATTGCACGTTTCATTAAAACTTGATTTTAAACGGAGTATAGCACATGGTTATATGGAAGCCCCTACAAGACCGTAAGAAAGATTTGTATTTTAAAGGAGGTCTATTGCTCTTTAATAGCGTTTCCAATGGAAAACATATCAAATATATTACAGTAAAATGTCCAGTTCTGGATTTTAATCCACAATAAAACTGTCATGGCTTTTAGGCTAGCTAAGGATTTGTATTTTATGCATATACATATAAAAGAAGTGTGTTAACAGGCTGCACTCCCAAGCACCACTGCTTAAAAATGTAGCTTTTGTTAATACATTTATAGCATACACAGCCCAGTTGTTGTTACTGCGAATAATCTATTGCATTGTTGCAGGTTTCCAAATGCTGGTAAATCCTCCTTACTGAGCAAAATTTCACATGCCAAGCCTGAGATTGCTGATTATGCATGTAAGTTTTAATTTGTCCTATGTGTTTAGTTTGATCCTTCATTTGTGTTACTGTCTAGATCAGGGGTGCTAAACCCAAGATCCGTGTGCCATATTTGGCCTGCTTGACAAAAGAGGACATAAAGCGGCTCCTCATAGACCTAAGGAAGGCCAAGGTAGTCCGTACCGAAATAGGAGTGGTCTACCAAAAGGTTCAGATATTAGAAGTGCGAGAGGCCTCCAAAAACAAGAAATGTCAAGCCACAAATGACAAACTGGAAGGACTTACCTCTCTGGTACAACAGTTGAGCTGGGTGGTGACAGGCTGGAGTTGCACCGTAGGCATAGGAACATGTGCCTCAGACGCATCCCTGAAATTGTCGACAACGCAAAGCTCTTGCAATATGTCCACGACCTAATAACTTCCATGGGTATTAGGAGCAGCTCTGGATTATCATAATACCATACAATAATTGCCGATTGTCATCTGGAGCACTGCTTTCAATTAGCTACCACAAAAATTGCTTCCAGAATATGTAATTCAGATCTGTGCAGTAAAATTAAAATTGCGCAGAGTGCCAGCTACGGAAAGGTTTAGACCTGAACAGGTTATAGAGCTACGCTTTTTGCTAGTTATTGCAGTCTGAAGCAGCTATATTCTGGGAGAGAGGCACAGGATGTTCCTTGCTCCATACCAATGGGAATAAGATGTGTGGCAGTTTGGTGGGGGAATACATAAATAGATATCCACCTTTTCATTCTTTCTCTGTTTCAGTCACAACAGTGAAACCTGAACTTGGCAAAATTATTTACTCGGATTACAAACAGGTGAGAGCAACGTTGTTTTAGCCGTTAGTGGGCAATGCAGGTACATTCACTGTCTTATTAGAAGAGGTAGTGGTTAGCCACAGTAAGCAGCATCGAATGTCTGTATTTAAAGGCAGAGAACCAACCCGGAATGATTCTTTTCCAGTATTTATAGGGATGACCTTGTCTTTTATTTTGTCCTTCTTTAAAATCTAGGCACCTGGGGTTCTCTCACCTGGGTTTTCTTGGATGCTGTAGTTACATTATCTGGGAAATACTTTACTCCCAAAATAATATGGCCTTGCTTTTCTCGGCAGACAGAAGATTGGTTAACTATGCAGCTGAGATCAGATAGCGCTAAGGTTAGCTGTAATATAATGATATTATGTGTAACTCTGTGTAATGTCTTTATTACTCTATATAGATTTCTATAGCTGATCTCCCAGGTTTAATTGAAGGTGCACATATCAACAAAGGAATGGGGCACAAATTTCTCAAACACGTAGAGCGGACCAAACAGCTTCTTTTTGTGGTATGTGGAATACTACTCGTCTTACTTGCTTTTAAAGGGACACTCTTGGCACCATAAACACTGAAGTTTACTGTACCCATATTGCCTTTTGTCTTTGGCACCGTCCCCTGGTTTAATGGCAAACATTTAAGAAGCGTTTGATATAACCCTGGGCTCTTCGCAGCTCCTGAAGACACCCTCCTAGGTTGTATTTATAATTCTCAATTATCATAACTCCATTTATCAAAGTTCATTTTTTTTTTAATCTCTTCTCTGCTTGATGGGCAGAGAGTGCTATGCAACCCTGCCCCTAGCACTCCCTGCCAAGCACCACTATATAAGTTCTGCTCAGTTCTAGAACCATGGACTTGTTTCATATTTCTGCTGTTGCTGATCATTGCCATATAGTGTTGTAGCAGGCAATTTATTTTCTTTATATCCCCAAACACTCTCAAATTTGATTTAGACTATTCATTTAAAAAGTACAGTAACAGTAGGACTCAAATCTTCAACTTGACCTCTCACCGTCAGTGCGTGGAAATCCAAGTCTAGTGATCGTTACATTAGAAGAGGTTTTACGATGGCTATAAATGCCTCCCATATTCTTTCAGTGTCCATTTCTCTGCAATGTTTTTTTTTAATTGTGCATCTGTTTATGGGATTAAACTCCTTGCACTGTTAGCTTTCTCTTTAAATGCCGGATAGCATGATGAATCTACTAAGCAAGCTAGTTGAATAAAAGTCTCTCTGTAAAAGACATATTGAGTTCAGGGTTATCCTTTAAATGTAATCGCATTGCTGCATGTTAGACAATCAAACGTGTTGTGTTATTTCACCCTGTATTTGATGCCTATTTTTGTAGAAGATAAATGTAACTAAAACATGGATTTACAAATGGCAATAATTACTAGTCTGCACAGTTTAATTTATTCACTATAACTATTCATGTATTTTGTAGGTTGATGTGCAAGGTTTCCAGCTGTCATACAAAACACCATATCGAACAGCGTTTGAAACCATCCAGTTGCTGACATTGGTGAGATTTGACTTTACAACTACCTGCAGTGTAACAAAAAAAACAGTTATTGTTCTAGATTGGAACTTGTCTGCACATTAGTCTATCTCTAAGAAAAGAATTATATTTTTAAAGGGTTTTGCATGCTCCTTATAAATCCTGAATAAAGGCCCCGTCTGTGGCAGAGGAACTGAGCAGACCAAGTAACTGCAAAATAAATCAAATCTGTATATAATGAATTGGTAGTAAAGTTAGTAGGTTTGATGGTGGTGGTATCTACAGCAGAATTAAAAAGAATTTTCAAACCTGTGTCAACAGGCCCTGTATTTGATTTTAGAAGTGAATGTAACTAATATACCAGCTCTACTAAACCATTGGTACTTAAAGGGACTCTACAGTCACCAAAACAACTTTAACTTAATGGAGCAGTTTCGGTGTATAGAGCATGCCCTTGAAATCTCCCTGCTCAATTGCTTCTTGGACTAATTCTTCCTCATTAGCCCAAGCAGCACACAAGGGATTGTTCAGCATTAAAGGCATTTAATGCTGAAAAGAAGGACTACAGACACTATAACCACTGCAATGAGGCAAAGCAGTTATGGTGCCTACAGTGCTCCTTCAAGTATTTCTGTATATACATTTTTTTCCACTGGTTGTAGTTGCCTTCAGTAGGCTGTTTACTATAATGACAGTGCTTTACTCAGTGCGGTAGAGACCCCTAGGCCAACGGGAAGAGTCTAAGGTATTTTGCAACAATTACCTTTATGTTCATTATTGCTCTTGAAGAATGGATCACTGAAATAAGGCCATAAATATAACTTCCCTGACAAAACAAAAGCAAGCATCACAGGGCAATGTAAGTGTTTTTAAATCTACGCTGCACTCCTCACCTTAGTTACAGTAAGTACCTCAGTCGAGGTTATTTTGGTGAGAAAATTAAAAACTTTATAAATTACAGTTCTGCCTGAATTTTTATTTTGATTCCCACTGTCTCAGTAGCTAAAAAGAGAATACTATCAGTTTTATAATAGGCTGTCATTAACTTTGTATATATGATTGTTGAATATAGTAAATGTTGTTTTTTTTTGTTTTTTTTTATAACATAATTTTAGGAGCTGCAATTATATAAGAAAGAGCTTCTAACCAAACCTGCCTTACTTGCTGTCAATAAGATGGACATTCCAGATGCTGAGGGCCATTATCAAGAACTGCTACAACAACTTGCAAATCCGAGCGGTATGTCTAATAGGATATTACGTTGATGTGTTTGCTCTTCCTCTGTAGAGTCCTGCCAGTGCTTAAATAAATATCTTTGGACCGGCCTAGTCTTGTATGGATTAATTAGAATATACTACAACTGCTTGTTCTGTGTAGAGACTCTGCTTTGATGACCTGCATAAAGATTAGGAGCATCTTGTATAGACAGAAAAAATTGTAGAGTGTTCTAAATAGTAAAGTGGGATAAAAGTATACTAACCACAGAGATCAATGGAATGTCCCCCACTGAATCCAACTCACACCAGTGTAAGTAGGCAAACAGTTTTTCAATGGTTTGTGGTCTGCCTGGCACCACGCCACTGTTAAAGTTCCTAAGCAGGGTTTCCCATTAGCTCTCCGGAGCTGAGCCCGGCACTAGTGACCACACCACAAACCCGCATTAGTAGTGTAGGCAAGGAGCAGAGCCCAGGTAAGAAGTATGACAGTTCAAAACGGTTTGACTCCTTTCCCTGTGGGGGATAGGGGTACCAGGGCACTCCTAGTACAATACCTATCACAGCAAAATGTTTCTTGTAGTATTTTTTAAGGATTGTTTTTATGGTCTGGAATTTGTTATCCTTTATCCTGTATTTATTATTGTGTGAAGATTTTGTATAAATGCAGCAATAATTATCAATTATTCTTTTTATTTTGTTTTCTTTCTAGAACATCTGCATTCATTGCCTGATGACCTCATTCCAGAACGTCCAGTTGAATTCAAATATGTTCTTCCTATCTCTGCTGAAACTGGTCAAGGTATAGATGACCTTATGCATTTTATTCGGAAGTCAATTGACGAGCAAGCTGAACTGGAAATTCGGGAGTCTGCGAAAGAGAAACTTCAGAGCCTTCAAACCATGCCATCTCGACCTAGGAAAAACAAACCAGCATTGCGTCCATGATGTGCAGTATTGTGATATATACCGTGTATACAAGTGTAAGTTATTGTACAGAGTAACTAAATTACATTAAAATAGAACTTTTAATACAATAAGTGACGTCACATGAGTGATGGTGTGTGTGTTTTTTTCTGAATAGCGTTCCATATTGTTTAGCGACACTGATATCAACTTTGCATTCCAGCAAGTGTTGCTCTGTTATTTTAGATTTGTGTTTTGATGAGTTGAAGGATTCCTATTGTAGTCTTTTGCCCTTGAGTACCAGCTAACGTTAATTTCTAAACTACAATTTAAAGCCAATGTCGCATCGGCAACCCTCTTGTTGACAATGGCAAATCCTGCACTTCCCGATTGCAATGCTTACTTCATCATAAAATACGAGGGAGTGATCTTTTTCACTGTAACATTTCCAGCTGACTTGATGCACATATGGTTCCAGTGTAACAAACTACTTGAATGCAGCAGTAGTAGTTATGATGTCCCTTTAAAGTTTGTCTGCAGGGACGGGTTTTGAGGTAAACCTGTCGGGTTAGAAATACTAGGAGAGATGAGCTGATAAGGCGATATTGTTACCAGCAAGCACCATTGGGGGGAAATAAAATGACATCTCCCCCCTGCCCCGCACAATGATTGATATCTTTATAATAAATATGGAAAGTGCAGTTGGCTGAGCTAATAAAGAACAAAAGCAAAATTATTTTGTGGTGGTTTTTATGTACTATACTAATTACATGGCTATACCAAAGCCATGTAACCGTAATGTTCTAAATGCTGACTAGTGTTTTCAAACCTTTTACTTTATGGCGTGGTCTAGCAGTGCTCCTCGTTCCTCTCCCTCCATTGACTCACGCAGGCATTAGTTTGTGGGGTTTTTTTTTTGTTTGTTTTTATAAATAATTTTGTGTGATTATTTTGCTCAAATGACCAGCAGTGGCAGATGGAAGGCAGGGGAAGAGTCAAGAGCATTGCTAGACATCTTTATTAGTGATGTCCCGAACGGTTCGCCGCGGATGGCGAACATATGACCCTGTACCTCACAGTCAGCAGACACATTCCAGCCAATCAGCAGCAGACCCTCCCTCCCAGACCCTCCCACCTCCTGGACAGCTCACCAAGAATGCAGCTTCACAATGAATGTAAAATGGATGCTGTCCAGGAGGTGGGAGGGTCTGGGAGGGAGGGTCTGCTGCTGATTGGCTGGAATGTGTCTGCTGACTGTGAGGTACAGGGTCATATGTTCGCCGTCCGCGGCGAACCGTTCGGGACATCACTAATCTTTATGACACAATTGGTGACATTTTAAACATAATAGTTTCCATTTTAGCATTGAAAGTTGTACATCTAAATCTAAATAAACCGCCATCTCCTTTAGATTTCCTATTATGAGGTTACATGGAACAAGGTTATGTGTAGAAATTTGGTCAAAATGTCACCAGACCCACTCTTGATGGGGAAATAGAGACTCTGAAAAATCCATCATAATTCATTACATGGCTTCTGGTCTGCACTCTGTGAGTGTGTTCCTGTGCTTCTTGCAGTCCATTACCAACAAACTTGTTACATTTTTTTAAAATGGCTGTCTGAAGGATGTGACATGCAGCTCTTTCCATACTACAGAATTTCACTTTTAGGAACTGCATATTAGTGGCAGACAGTACATTTAACATCTCTCTTAGATTAATAGGAGATGAGAAACCCCTAAATCCAGGTTAACATGCTAGATGGTAATAATATTGCCACCACGATGGTCATAAACTCACCAGACATCACACTCTAGTGAATAAACCCAGTGTTCGTTAATGTCACGTTCATGCTCTCACACCCTTTTGGAGAAAGTAAAAGGAACACATCAACGTTAAAAGCAAATATATATTTTAATGCTTGGAGTATTCCTTTAACCCATTGCATCCTGGGTGCCCCATCCCGAATAAATAAAGTTAACTTTTTTTGTCCAACGGCAAGTTTTCTTCCCTGCTGCTCCACTACGGTTAGTGGCAACAGTGTCTCCTTCCTGTTTGCATGAAATTAGCGCATGCATGGCCATTGCTGTGAATCCAATCAATCAAAGCAATTGCTGAATAAAGTGGATCCCATAGGTAAGCATTGGCTAATGATTTCCTATAAAAGCTCTTCATGGACTCACCTCGGCAGCCTGGGATGTTCCCAAATTGTCACAAGGAGGGCCTGCAGTTAAACCTCTAAAGCACTTCAGGAATCTGACGTGCTTTAGGGGTTTGAAGTGTCCTTTAATATAGAATACACTGTGCTATTCAAAGTGCCAACAAAATCTATAAATGTAAAATATTCTAAACCTGGAGTGCCCTAACGCTAGATCCCCAGATGTAAAACTACAACTCCCATGATGCTTTTATAATGACAACTCATCATGGAAGTTGTAGTTTTATAATATCTGGTTATCTTCTTTTTGGGCATCCCTGTTCTAAACACTCTTAATTTTTTACCTATTTATATACTTTACAGTTGCGCCATCTTCATTACGGTATAGACAACAAATACGGCGGACACAAGTGTCTACACTGACAGCAACTCTTTGGCACCTCACAAGTGTTAACATGCACACACGTGTCTTTGTGAGCTTGCTTGCCCATTCCAGGATGCCACCTTAGGAGGATAGCTTTTAATGTGTACATCTACTGGTGGTTCTCCAATATAATTTATAGACATCAATAACTTTCTGAAGGTGGTCTTGTCATCCACGTTGCTTGTGAATGACCAGTCCCCCCCTTTAAATAAGACTAGTAGAAAATTTGAAAAAAACAAGACATTTTAATGTGAAATTAGACAATATAGGGAGATACAATGAATTTAGATTTTCCAAATGGGATGATTTATTAATTCAGATGTAATTTTTATGACATAGTTTACCCACAAATTTAACAGCACTGCTGTATATGTGTCTTGGGATTAAATACTGGAAGTAAAGTCTAATTATATATAAAATGTAAAAAGATTTCTACACGCATGTATTCTCTTTTGGTTCTGTGATGTGGCCGCACTTAACTGATTTCCGTTTCCACCCATAACAAAATATAATACCGTTGTTTGGCCTTACATCATAGTTGTTTAAACTCTACATTTGACAATAATGCATAAAAGTCAGTATTTCAGTAAAATCTATTAGTTTGTTTTAATCAGCTACAGAATAATTGCAAGTTTTTGAAATAACCACTATTAGGCATACGCAAACACTTGCACGCTAAAAAGCTACGGCACAATCGAGACAAGTTAAGCATTACAAAAAATGTGTTACATTCCACTTTGTCTGCCTTTACAGAGCGTTAACAGTTTTAGTGCTGGGGAAAGCACAAACCCTTTCACGATACCCCAACACCAACTGGTTTTAAATGCTGAACTTCTTCAGCAATGCAGAAATACCCCCCTATACACAAAATGTTGCCCGATTTATGTTCATTTTTTTCTGTAATTTCCAATAGGTACATGTGAAAGGCACAGCATGTATCTTGGAGGAACTATAGATTTAGAAAATATTTCAGTGAGCCTGCACCATGTCTTCACATTTCGAAACCCTTCAAATTGAAGATACAATATATTTTGCATTGACAGTGATCTGTTAGTACTGGTTTAAGTCTTTAGATTCTTCGTTGCAAAAAAGAACGGTCTACTCACAAAAAAATAATTATGAATTCAACATTAAACTCCTCATAGTGCAAAAACTTTTTTGCACACAATGGCAAGAAATCGTTTAAACGTTTGCAGTGTTATTGTGCATATGAACTTTGATTGCGGCAGTTTTATTTTCTGCAAACATAGATAAAACTTAATTAGTTTTATATATATAATCTATATATTCTTCGAAAACTAACTCATTTTTCTTTAATAACTATGTACGCTGCATATATAATGCTCCTGATTGTTTCGTTGTGTTTTTAGGAGTTTTTTTCTTCTAAATTTTAAGGTTACATGTAAAACAGGTGTGCTCACTGATCTTTAGGCGCTCGACAAAATAAAATACTATCTACTGTATTAAATGCTTTCCTTTTTTTTTTTTTTTTTTTTACAATTGATAATGTACATATGTACAGAAATATGCATTTTTTTTTTTATGTTCAGAACTTGATAGCTAATGTCTCATTAATGTGGCTTTTTTTTTTTTTCAATTATAAAGTAAAATGGCTATATGATATGGTACCATGCTAAATTCATTATATTTTATCTGCGGTAAGTGGAAAAGACAGTATGAACATGCACTGAACAGAATTAACCATAGTGGGGACGTGCATCAAAATAAGTCTTGACTACCACACTTTCCGTCGTACAATGGATGACTAGCTGTAGTAAATTTAGACTTTTGTACTATAGAACCTTAGAATTTGTAATTGGTGTCTGAAAATATATTCGTCATGCAGAATGAAATACTCCTCCTACTTCGTCCGTATAAGTCTCGTTACTGTTAACGCACAGTTCTTTGTTTTTTTAAATTGCTGTTGGGAATATAAATAATTGCAGTCGGTAAGAGGTGTTCCGGTAGATCAGAAATGATTTTCTCTGTAAACATCCTTGATTCCATGGTATTTATTCTAGCTGAAGAACAAGCACACATGTAGTTGAGGATTGAGTGTAGACACCATTTTGGCTTTCCAGAGCCTGATTTTACTCTTTTTCCCAAGGCTCCGAGTTCTGGAATGTTCAGATAGATGTCTCCCATAACTGCTTTAATCAGAAAAAGAAACCATGTTAAAATCTTGAAACATACTTAACACAATATTAGGCTAATAATATCTCCTTATGTGTTGAATATATAAATTTGTATAGTGTTAAGTAATGTATTTGCTTTAGCAGATGTTGAATATCCACGTCCTTTGCACACACACAAAGTTCCTCCTATCCTCCCTATGTTTCAATGGCCCTGCTTGGGGATACTTCTGCAAATGGGGCAACCTTCCTCTAGGACACTGACATGATGACTTCACAGAGAGCGCAAGAACTGTCACTGTGGTTGAGACACACATGCTGGGTGAATATTTGTGTAGGAGGGTTTTCCTGCTGTCCCCTCTCCTCAAATCAAGCCTGGAGGCCGTAAGTCACAAGCCGACTCATACATAAGGAAAGGACCATTTATTTATTCTTTTTTTATATATATATTTTTTAATACATCTGAATTTTTGCTAGCATGTCTACTAACAATGCAATGACAATGCATATATTTTTTTCAGTTTTAATTTAACCTAAACTTGTGTGTACCAAGACAGGTATATTTTAACTAAGAAGCAGATAGGAAGTCTAGGTTATGTGAGCTGCTGTTGAGGAAAAATGTTTAGGCACAATTCGCATCATAGATATCTTTGGATACCTATTTACCAGAACACTGCTATCTCTTGGAAAGTCTGGGTTGTAGTCATTGTTTGCTTACAATTCAGCCATCTGTGATAAGAATTCTAATGCAATAAAACTTACAAAGCCACAGATAGTATGGATAACCAACACGGAAGTATAGAACAGTAAACGGGCCAAGACATATTACCGGTCATTAGAGTGGCAACGCAAAAAAAATAGTCAAAGGACAAAGCAAGGTCAAGGGAGTACAGAGAAACAACAAGACGAGTAAACAAGCCAAAGGTTAGGATTAGAGAATTCAGAATAGCCAGAAGTCGGTAACTAGATAAGCTGAGAACAATCACAAATGTACTCTCGGACCAAAACAGGCCACAGACCTACCTCCTAGTGGTCTGAGATTATGTAAGCCTGGTGTCTGATGTCACCAGAATGGTGCCATATCATCATAAGTGTGCAATGGTGGAATGACGCCATGTCTGCGATATTTTGAATATATAGCTAGAACGATCATAGTGTTCCATGTCAGTTATGACGCAGGAATAACGCGTGCCATCAAGATTCTAGTGTTGGATCAAGGTTATGCAGTAATGTCACAGTGCGTCTTTATTATTTAAAAAGTGGTGCCAGTCAAGTCAATGTGATGAGCGGAGTTAACTGTGACAAAGTGAACACTAGCTAGAGGTAGGTATCCTGACACCTACTCCCACATAGATTTTTGAGTCACAGATTTAAAAAAAAAAAATGTTCTAATGTGTCCTGCACAACCTACACCTCAACAGGTGAGCAGAGTACTTCTGAGACTAACCTGGTCCAACAAAAGGATAATTCAATCCAGAAGTTACATGCTAACATTATTATAAGCCTGAAATACAAACAAGTTCATCAATATGTTCCTTCATCAGAAAGGAAGAAAATCATAGAAAAAACAAACAAACTAATGACCTACAGTAATACCAAGTATAACAAAAAAAGCTCCATACCCTTGCACTTTGTTTGCTGACTTTCTTCTCTTCATCAGGAAGTGGTGGCATGGGGTACGGGTACTTCCTGCTTGAGGCAATGGATCCAGTTGATGACGATGGAGATTTAGCAGGAGACAGAGTTCTGATGGGAAAAAGAGAGAGATAATTAAAAGAATTAGAAAGATTAATTTAAAAAGTATATTAGACAATTTATAGTGTAGTTTTAAAATTTTATATGAAAAATAATTTTCTTATCTTACCTGTATACAACTCAATAAACAGCACGGGCCATGAAGTGATGGCTAATCTTGGCACTTTATATACCGTTGGTCAATATTTTCCTTAAGGCTGGCTGAACATTATGGTACATGTAGTCAGAAATATTTACAGTGCCAAGGTTAGCAATTACTGTTTTTATCAACTGCTGCCTGCTTCGATTATTAATTAGAAAAAAAAGGAAAAGTTTTCTAGGTCAGAATACAACGTATAATAAAATGATCCTCTTGAACTGTGATAGCTCATTGGTGAGAAAATGAAATATCTGACTACGTGAGTTGGCAGAATATCGATCTTATTTTTTTTTTATAGAATATATTTTTGTGTCTCTTACATATAATAGTATGGGGATTCCTGCGAGATTAGAATGCAACTTATTGCCATGTAAATAAAAAGTTATTTTGTAATAAGGAATACAACCCGAAATTGATGACATTTGTTTTAAATTCTATCTCTTGTAGGAGTGCCGCTCTATTTTACGGTTTTCAGACCTACAATGATTGACACAATTAAAATAGTTACTGAGAGCTGGGCCCGTGGCCATTCAAGCAAATACTAATCAGATAGCAATAAAA